CCTTTGGGGGAGGGGTGGTCAAATGGTTTAACAGTTAAGGCATGCAAAACATGGGAGTACGCCCCCCCCCCCCCTATCTCGCGCCCCGTGTGTGATCCAGCACTAGTGAGCCTACCTCTCCGTTGGCTATGAGACGAGGGTCGTAGGGTGACATCGCGTCCGTCTCCCATTGGCAGCCTGCCAAAGAGCGCAAGCACAACACACGTTCGTTGCGGATATGCCAATGTTTGAGTTGTTTTGGCCATGCAAGCGTCCAAAGAAAGATTACTTCTTTGCCTTTTCTTGCCATGCTGTGGCTCACGACGCGTTCAAGATCCGTTCGTTGTTACTGTTGTTGTGTTCACGTTCGTTGCAGATACGTCGATGTTTGGTTTGGCCATCCAGCGTCCATGGTAGTAAGATGGTTGGTTTGCCGTTTCTTGCCATGCTGTGGCTAAGCACACGTTCAAGATCCGTTTGTTGTTGTTATTGTTGTGTTCCCTTTCGTTGCAGATAGTCAATGCTTAATTTCGTTTGCCATCCAGTGATAGCAAGAGGGTTGGTCTCGAAATGCCATGGCTCGCCGCAAAAAAACGAAACGACGTGGTTTCTCTCGTGTGTTGCGACGATCCGAACTGGGGTAGCTTGTCGCGTAAGCACTGTTAACCCCCACGATTAAACGAGAAGTGGCGAGTGGTTGCACGTTAGACGAGGTGTCGTGGAGGGTACAGAGTTTCGTGTGACCGTGGTCGGGCGGGCGGGGACGGTGAGGTAAGGGTAGCCGGCGGTGCGGCGGAGAAACAGTGCCTTGGCCTTTCCGTGACGTGATAGGGTCCTTCATGCGTGGCTGGTACACTAGACGAGGCCGGACATTGCGAATGCCGTGAGAGCGGTAGCGAGGTATTCTCCCGACGGGTTGGGTAAGGTGTGGGCTATCCATGAGCCACTTTCTGGACTAGGACTAAAATTCTTGTCTCGCCACTAAGGCAACCACCGCAAACGTTTTCACAACAAACTTTACCCAACGAGTGAATCGTGACAGTAGGTAGGCGGTCCACCGCCATCCCGGCCACGTGCGCTCTGTCCCTCTTCCCCGACGGTACGGTGTGACTTAACGGTTGTCTCTTGAGAACCAACCAACGCTTCCAATGGTAGAGGGACGTGTTCCCTTCCAACTATTTACGGCTGTTACATCACTCCGCACAATTCTGCGGACCACACACACCGCATGCGCGCAAAAACAAATCACCTTTTTCGCTAGAAAAAGATACACACATGCTGCTGTCGCTTCTGCAAGACTCCTTCTACCAGTTCGAGACATGCTGTACTACCTGTAGTCGAATGTGTGTGTGTGCTGAGAGTATTTGCAGTAGATTCGTGGGGAAGAAAGCCTGCTGGATACTCTGTTTCAAGCCTATGCACTTCTGGGCTTCAGTTTTGAGTCTGCTTCAAGCACTGAAGACGCAAGTGATGCCACAGCTAAACAGCTTGTGGTTCCAATCGCAAAAACCATTCATTACACGTGGGGAGAAGAAAGAACCGGTCTCCACACGCGATCTTTTATTACAAAGTAAACATAACCTCACAGAAAGACTACCCGTCTGAGGTATAGCCTCAGTCGAGAGGGACGTGTTGACGACTTTTCTACGATACGATATCCTGCGGCCAGGTTCGGTCGCAAACGAGGGCGAAATAGCTCTAAGCACAGCAGTAGAGAGATCTGACTAGTGTCGGTAGGTGCCCGGAAATTCGCCGACAATACACGAACCGGTACTAATCAAGGTATTGAGAATGACATGGAAACTCAAGTGTGTGCCCGCCGAAAACACCCGCACCATACCGGACAGCGGCATTACTCAACCGGCACTAAAGAGGGATCTCCACTGTAAAAATGATAATGATAGGACTGGTTCAGGGGTGCATTCAAGTCCTGCAACGAGAGCACGCCGTAGGCCGCCCACAAACCACAAACCACTGACAGGTTGCGTGCAACCAGCGGGTATTGCTGGTGTCTTTTGTCGGGCGCTTGCTTGGTGTGTGTTAGTAATTCCGACAACTTTTTTCCCATCCAGCGCCACCACGCCAAATACTTTTGGAGCGAGGCAAAGAACAGAACTTTCGCACTCTACTGCTGTGACAGGTCATCCTATTACAAAGCCTGACTGCTGTGGATGAAAGGTGTACAAGTGCTGCAACCATTGTTGCACATACAAAAGTAGGACTAAGATACGATCCGAGCGGAAGATCTCACTGATGGTTGATCAGCAAGAAACCCGAAAATATGGATGCGTCCCTCTTGGCGCCACCTGCGGAGCTTGGGAATCCGATACCCTCGGGCTTGGTCTCCCTCGCCCCTTCGGCGGGTCCTCTCTTGTCTCTTTCTCCTGAGACCCTCTCCTCTCCTCTCTAATCTAAATCTCAATGAAGGCCCTTAGTACAAGTAGGGGGTAAAGACCGCTGCGACCTGGGCCTCCCCACAACGAGGGAAGCCTGTGTCCTCATGACAGCAACAACGCAGTACCATGCTTTATCATGTATCAGCACAATAGGAACACTACACCGAAGTATTAACCCTTTTGGGTCTACAGGCGTCCTAAAAATCATTGATTGATCATTTGTACATGCTGGTGTTGTGACATGCCATGGAGTTGCCGCCCTGTATCCCTCCACGCCAGGTGTTGGCAAGTCAATAGGTAGGTGTGTCTATATTATTCGCATCGACCGCGTACCCGGTGACCAATGAAAAGACGTTAGTGCCAGCGGGTATATCAAGGTCTCTGGAACGGCCAAAATTCGAAAAATGCATACTGCTCTAAATGAGAATGCCACCATGAATCTCTCCCCATATCCTTTCACAGAGACACACGTCAATAACTCCACATACATACGTGCCTTCGCCCGAATCTAGCAACCAACGCAAAGACAGGAGGACAGCAAAAAGGAGCACTTCAAGCCCAACCAGGCCAGGATATCGTGGTATGCTGCATATCCTCCAAATTTGAAAATCGTACATTCCCAAGATCCAACAGTCATCATGTCAGCAGCTATACTACACAGCAGCAGCAGTATATGTAGCGAGTCCAACATACAGCAGTACCGTAGTAGCGCATACACTATCATCATAGCCCCACACATACCCTCGCCTGAACCTAGAGAGCCACTGATGGAAAGGTAGGTGTGTGCTGGTGTGCTTGCGTGCTTGTGGGAATTGTGGGAAAATTACAGGAGCTGTAGTGAGCCGGTAGGGCTCACATCGGGGAGGGGACAGAGAAATACAGAAGTACAAGAACCAGCTATGGCAAGGGACCCTCCATGTGGAAACCGTGGAACACCCCAGCCCCCCCCCCCCCCCGGGCAAAAATGGCGCGCAATATAAGGGGGTTTAGGGGGCCCCCTGGCGCCATCTATTTTATAAGAATTTATGGGGCTATAATAAAAACCAAATACCCCTCCTTGAGTAAAATTTTCTGGCCCATTTTAAAACCCCTAAAATTCTCTTCCTTTTTAGGGTTTCTGGCCTCCTAATATTTTCCACACCCTACACTAAAACTCCCGACCCAAAATGACGCCTATTTTTGGGGGGGTTCCCTAATTTTCCCTAACTCTGTGGGGGAAACCCCCCGCGCGCCCTTAAAAAAACCCCCCAAAATGTCCAAAACCCGGAAAATTTTTTAAAAGGCCCCCCCCCGGGAAATATAAAGGCCCTCCCCCCCCCCGCCAACAAAAATGGAGCCT